GTCAAGCATTTCAGCCAAATTTATAAATCTTTTAACACTTTTATTTTATTTACTTCAAAATTATGTTCGTCTCTAACGTCAAGATGGATCCAGGACTAACCAGACCCAAGGATGAGGATCCCTTAATATTTCCGGATCGATGCTTCGAATGGATAGGCACGGTTGTCGAAAACTCCCCAGATCTGACCATTATATTGTACATGGCAATGGGGATCACAGTGCTCAGCTATATTATAGTTTTCATCAATCGACTTGTAATGTCCATCGCATCGACCTTGTCAGTCGTCTTAGTGCTGGTATTAGTCATACACATGCACGATCCTACCGAACAGGTAGCCTCAGCTGTCTTTAAGACTATATTGACCAATGCAACCCATTACCTAGCATCCATAACCACCGGAACTTGATTTGAGGAACAAGCCTTGATAACTGATGGAAAAATGGTTCCAATCGTATATTATATACAAACTATTTTGCTGTTGTCTTTAATTTTGTTTTAAAAATATTCTGTTTTTAATATGTAATGGAATTTGTTAAAAAAAAAAAATAATACAATATAAGAAATTCGATATACAAAATCTTACAACTTTTTATTGGCGTCAGTTTTTGTGGGAAGAGAAATTCTACCTGGGCCGAATGTGAAAGCTAATGAACTCTTAGAAGCTATCAACGTACATCGGCAGCTTCTATATATGTGCAAAAGTAGCTTGGATAAATATGCAATCAATTAAATATTCCGAGCTCATTTGTCCGCAGCGAGCAGAGCAAAATCAAATTGAATCTCCTCTGGTTATTTTTCTCGTTGCTTCTCAAATAAACAATTCCAATAAAGCAAATATGTGAGATTAATAAAAACAAGTGTAAATGTAGATATAAATATTTAATACAGTAATAAACAAATCAAACAAATTGGAAACTCTTTCACTTAGCTAGGCAAAGACACAGCCTAAATATCAGCTTTGCTCGCTTGAATCTCTTTGAAGTTATTCAAGTGCCTGAAAGGTCTGTCTATTACTTTAAATAGCTGTGCATAGAGAGTTCTTGTACCATAATCCGATTTGGATGGCATCTTTCACCCTTCGCTTGGCTCTGCCCAAATGTCACGCAGCTCACAATCACTTAGCTCGCCCAAGCTGTACATGGATGTGTTATAAGCCACGTTCAATTGCATGATTCAGAATGATTATCAAATCATACGTTGCCACATTCACTGCTGGAACAATTCTAAATGCAGCAAACGCCCACACACACACACGATGCTCAAACGCCCGCATCAACATTTCAGGCAGCTATTTAAAGCCTAAACGACTGCCATACACAAACACACACACGCACACAGACAGACATACATGCATACATGCATACAGCAGACAGGCATGTTTATGTTTCGACAGCAACAAAAATGGCAGCTGTAACAGGCACGCCCCTCTCCACGAGCCGCTCTACCTTAGCCTGGGGGCCGCTGCTGTTGCTTGAGCGCTGACCGTGACGCTGGCTTCGCTGTCGCGAACCTTGTTGCAGCTTGTATGTTGCACGTTGCCCACTGCCGACTGCTATTTGTGTTGGCCCAATGGCATTTTTGGGCTACGTGCCGCTGCCAACGACTGCTGCTGTCTGCTGTTGCGACTCCTGCTACTCCTGCTGCTGCTGCTGCTGGTACCTGATGCTTGACTTTCCTTTCTCTAATGAAATGCGGTTACAAATGCAATTTTACATTTTTCAAAAAAGCATTTTATCTGTCGTCGACAGGCCCGAGCACACAGACACAGACCAGCAGCACGTGACATTCAATGTGTGTGTGTGTGTGTGTGCTGTTTTCCTGTTCCCCAGACTGGGGAGCAACGTTAGCTTGTTTGCACCTTGTCGAAATTAGTGTTTCTACCAAAATGAACACGATTTGTTTGACCAGCAGGTGTTGAAAATACACTGCGCTCTATATACTGTGGCTTCACTGTACCGCCAGCGCCTCTATTTCCATGCAGCGCCCACAGCATTCGCATTCCTGCTCTCTCTCTCTCTCTTTCGCTCTGCTGCTATCTTGCAGCAATGTTTTGTGTGTCACACATGGCGTATGGGTAATGTTTTTCAAATTGTTGCGGTCGCCTGTGCGCTCGGACATTCACATTGTCCGTGTATTTTAGAATACTGTGGCTCTGAATTGATTGTCAGTTGTTCTTCTTGTCGCCGCATTTTGCGTGCTTTCCGGCAGCAAATTTTTGACCGACTGCGATTGGTGCGAGTAGCGAAGTTGCAGAATTTTATGAACTTCCCTCTCAAGCTTTAATTGGCTTCATTTAAAATGATATAACTTTTAGGGAGAATTGAAGTTGTCAAGATATAGAAATATTAGCATATAATATTGAATTGAAGTGAGAGAAAATTGAGGATAATACTGAGAAAGTTATGATTCATTGATTACAGGGCTCCAATTACATGCCATGTGAAGCCTGCAGCTAATTAGATTTCCCTTTAGAGACTTATCTCTAACAAAGAATTTAAAATGTTTGGCTAAGCTTTTCAAAAGCCCAAAGGAACAAACATAACATATATAGAATATGACGTTAAGCCTTTTTGTTTAAAGCAGCTGACGTCTGGCTATAGGCCCCAAGGCGGGGCAACTCTAATTCTATTAGACTCCAGCGAATGCAACAATAACAAACCCCCACACATACATCAACAGCCAACAACAACAAACTTCAAACGTTGACAAGTGTCCGTTGCGGTTGGACGTGCTCTTGTTGCCTCTGCTGCGGCAGAGACAGAGAAAGAGAGAGAGAGAAAGAGAGAGAGAGATGTCAGACAGATCTACCACGTTGACCACTCACAACTAGTGCAGCGAAAATTGCAAAAAAAGAAATAGAAACAAAAGTAAAAACAACACAAAATCTAGATATATAACGAAAATCTGTGGCATTGACGGAGCCGCGACATGGTCAAACATTTAGCCAAGCTTGGCAGCTTAATAGAATAACGGCCGCAGGCGGTCATCATGTTTGGCAAGTGGGCGTGGTGCTACGCCCGCCAGCACCAGACATAAATAACAATTTATAGCCAAATGCCAGACGGCCAGGCAAACAAACAAACAGCTGTGTTAAGCCTTTTCACAGTCCGCTCATAAAATATTTAATTGCCAGAGTTTTGACAAACAGAAGCTCGGCAAATTCGTCTAGCCATCGAGTCTTCCATAACCGAAAGTAATCCAGCAAGCATAAGATAAATTGAATATATATTTATATTTATTATTAATAAATATGTATGGCCAACAGAGCGAGACACGTTTAAGATTTTTCTATGAAAAACTAAGTATAAATTGATTGTTTTAAATATAATTAAATATAAAGCAAGATCCAGATTAATTATTTTAAAGATTTTATATCAAATATAAACCATGATCCAGACAAAAGATCTTAATTTTTTGTAAACTAAAATACTTTAGAATAAATAAAAACAAAAATTGTAGTGACTAAAAAAATGAGTTAAAACATTTTTTTGTGTCTTTATGTATATAAATATATAAATTTTAATTTATTTAATTTTTTATTATTTTTTTTTTTTTATTTAATTTATCAAACATACATAAATTTTGATTTACCTATCTAATTTTGGGCATATACATATTTTATATAAACATATTTAACAATGTACCCCAAGTTATTTTAATTTATAATCAAAAGACTTTCAGCTTTGGTATATAATATAACAATATATACAATTTAGTTCTGAATCAAAATGCATCTTCAGTTGTTGAAAACGTTTTTCGAAACAGCACACAATAGACTTTTTCTTGTGTTTTTCATTTATAGCCGGAAAAACTATAAAATGGCAGCCAGACATCCAAAATCTGTCAAACTCAAATCACAAATGCAGACAAAACTGACAAACACGAGCGAACAGACAGTCATACGACAACCAAACAGACAGAGAGACAGACAGAGAGACAGACAGACAGACAGACAGTTGTCAGGGAGTGCAACAACATTTGCTTTTCAATGCCAAAAGCTGTTGATGGCTGGAAGATTGCAGTTGCATCGAGGCCTGGCCGCCTGAAAGGGGCGTAGGATCTGCTGGTTGCGGCTTTCTTCCGCTCTTCAAGGCAAACTCATTAACAAGTTGGCACATAAAATGCCAAAAACTGTCGATGACTGGCGACTAGCTGCCGCATCAGCAGCAACTGCTGCAGTCGCAGCAGACGCCACTAATGGCTGGCTGCCAGTTTAATAGTTGCCTTTTGGTGGATGCCACTCCTCGACTCCTGTTGCGAACGGCTCGTACTTTGCGGTGCGAAGTTTTATTAAAAGCCAAACAGTCGCCGACATATGTATGCGCACCAAGCAGCTGAGACTGCCAGAGCGGAAAGCACAGACACGGACGGATAAATACAGACAAATTATTATAGCAGAGGCCAAGTACAGTGAGCTGTAACAGTGAATGGCGAGCAATAGATATTTAAGTATATATATAAAGTAAACTTTATTGTTGGAATATATTTAAAAATATATGTAATACTATATAGTTGATAATATTTAGTATTAAGCATATTTAATCTCTTCTTTTATTTATTTATTCTATTTTTTTTTTCATACCTAATAATTTATTTTAATTAAAAATGCACATTATTATATAATCTTTGTTTAATTTATTTTAATACTTAAACTAGCTATACATGTACATTTCAAATAGGTTTTCGATCATCAAACTTCTGCTCCTGATCTTCATTCATTCAGGTGAAATCTCACATAAATTTAAGCACACATCTGGATTTAACATATTTAATGTCCACTGTACAACTAAATTGGAATCCAACAACCGCGAAAATTATGTGACACATGTGTTGTCAGTCCAATTGCCAGCCAGAAATTGCGAAATTCTCCAAGTTCTTGAGACACTCAACTGTGGCAGATGCTGCAGCCCGCCAGGAAGTTAAGCGTCTGTAACGCCGGGTTTTCTTTTTAGTTTGTATTCCTGACTGTTTGCTGAGCTGAAGGTTAAGTGCGACTGTACGAAATGATGAGCTTTATTCACAGCAATGGTGGTTATTTGGTGTGCAATAGCATTCGTCCATCGGACAGCAGCAGTGATTCATATAGGACGTGTGGTAGGGAAAGACGATGATGCGCCAATGGCCGCCCATTTCGAGGGTCTCAAAGTGATAGCCGTCGTAGAGCTTGCAGCAGGCCTGCTTCGAGCTGTAGAACGGCAGTATTGGCAATAGACACACCTCCATGCAGTTCACATAGAACTGAGTGCCAGTGATTCGCGGGGCCAATGCATAGACGGTCGCGACGCTCTCGTCAAAGACGTGTATCACATCAAAGGGCGGCTGCTCCCTGGTAATGATATCGGCTGCCTGGCTGATGGTCTCGAAACTCTTCAGAGTGACCACGCCCGTCGGAGCGGTGCTGAAGAACAAGTGGGTTATGTTGCCAGTGACAATGATCGGACTGGCAACGGGCGGTGCATCCTCAATGTCAGCGACCTCATATTTAATGCCGCCCATTTGCAGCTCCTTCAGCGAGCGCTCGAAATTCGGATGGGTGGCCACATGTGGCTGCAGCTGGTGGAAGCGATACTTCACGCGCTCAATGAATTCATCGCGCACGGACTGCTGCACGGCCACACTGGCAATGGGGTAGGGCTCGAAGGGCTCGTGCATATTCTCGGCCAGACAGTGGGCAGCCGTATTCAGATCCCCGTTCTCAAAGACGAACATGAACCGAGGCCGCATCCAGGATTTCTTGATCTGGACGTGGATTTTCTGTGGACCAAACGAGATCATGATAGGCCTGAGACACCCAGGCGAAATTTCGAGTTATCTAGCAGTAGCTTACACTCGTAAAAACGTCCTTGTCACATCGCAGGTTTATCACTTGATCGGGTGTTATAAAGTCATCACGTGGCGTGCACATTTTGATATCGATTAATATCGATAATTGCTATAATTTAGAACAATATTAAACTTAATAAGTGATAACTTTTCAATTTAAAAATTCAAATAAAAAAATTAAATATTATAAGACTAGGCTTGCTTCGAGTTGAATAAAAAATATTTAATTGAAAAGTTGAGAGAACTATAAATAATATCCATAAAATTCTAGCGAAATAATAGTTAGCAATATCGCATTCTCATTACATGTGAAATGGAAAACAGGAATATTCTTTACTATTATTAATTAACGAGTGAGAAACTTGAAACAAGACAACGATTTACATAAGTTAAGCCTCTCTAAAGCCAACAAAGCTTAGATCCAGAACAATTGCATCAGACTAAAGCTAATATTACTTTACTCTCGACTCTTTGCGAACTGCCAGAGATTCCTCGCGCCGAGGGCAGCACAGCTTCAGCTGTGTTTTCTTAGACAACAATATGAGCAATAACAACAATAGCAACAACAACAACAGTTAGGCTAATGCAGCTAACTACATGCGAGAGATGTGTAATTTTCACAGCATACGCCAAGGCGCATAAACAAAGCACACGACAAACTCCCCGCGCGCTCACACACGAGGCGCACAAATCAAGCGCAGCAGCCCGACAAGTGGTGAGCCAAGGAAAACATCTACCATCATCTACCACTTCGGGGCCTGTGGCAGTGATAAGGAAGTGTCTCAGGCCTGCAAGGCAACGCCAACAATAACATGCTCCGGCAAAGCCGGGAATGGAGCTAAGACAATGCTAATGCTATTTGCTCAAGTGCCATCAGCGCAAGTATTATATAGAGTCTAAACAAAGGTAATAAATAAGTTTTTTAGGGCGCCCTAGTGATGTAGAAGCTAGGCGTGGCAGTGCTAAGCTCATAAGCTGATAAGAGAGAGGGGGGAGAGCAAAAGAGAGTGATGTAGTCTGATGGCAGCCAGCAATGTGTGAAACAGAAATTCACTCTGTTAAACAGAAATTATATACAAAACTTTAATTTTTAAAAATATAGTATGTATGTATATGTGACAAACGTAATTAAATTAAGCACTGATTAAGAATATATTAAAATACTTTTAGCTGTTTAACATTGTTATCCAATTGAAATCCAATTTGTACATTCTTTGCGGTTGGCTTGCGTCTGGCTGTGTCGCACTTCATGTTACCGTTGAAAAGTTTAATGAAAAACATAGTAGATAACAGTAAAAATCAATATTAAATTGCGAATTGTATAATTGCAAAAAAATAAAAATAAAAATAAAATAAAATATGTATAATTATAACAGATTACCATATTATAAACTAATACCCTACTGCAATTTAACATTATATGTAAATAACATAGGTATTGAGCCAAACTTAACATAAAATGTTAAGCATGAGCAACTTTAATGCAAACTGTGATTTATCCTGTTGCTAACATCTGCTTGTTAAGCCACAGAATTGCTTAATAACAGCACTCTACACAGCTCTTTAACTATGCCATTCATTTATTTATGTATGTATGTGTACATATTTATTGCATTTAAATAATGAATATGGCAAATATTTGAATATACATATATAGATTTCGTAGTGTTTGGAATTTATTCGAACTGTCAGAGCAAATTGACTGACAACACAGTGAAAAACAAACAACATTTCAATTTTGTTAACAGAAGCTGACAAAAAATTAGGCAAAACAGCAGTCAAACTGTTTTCAACCAGTCGCAATTCATTCAATTATTCATTTTGCATGCAATTTGAAATGTGAATTTGAGTTTGAATTTGAATTTGAAATTTGTGCTCGTGAAACATTTTAATTAAATTTTTGACCACACCACCAACACACACATACACACATACAGTTGTCGTTTAAAGCCACAAAAATTACGTATACGCTGCGTATTTGATATTAAATTAAAAAAGTTGACGGCGCGAAAAGTTTGCCTTAGTTTTTTTCGGTCAGTTAGCCTGGCGCATTTATGGACATAGTTTCTGTGTGCTTTATATTGTAGAGGTAATCTTTTTTAGAAAATTATATTTTTGAGTACACTCGTGTGTTTGTATATAATTTAATTAGCTGCCGGCCAAACGACAATATGACAAAAACTTTATGATTTTCATAAAATTGTCAGGCAATGCAGCAAATGTACTTCATATTAAATTCGCTGACCGTTGCGGTTAGCTATTCTAAAGGCGGAATTGAGAATTAACTGAACTATCCGCCCGCCCATGGGCCATAAAGCTTTTGAGAGATATGCTATAGCACTTATCGGAAGCGAATTGTGTGCGTGTATTTGACTAGCGAAAGGCGAATAAAATATGAAAATGCTTGGTAGCAAGCGTTAAATGCATGCAAACGCATGTGTGTGTGTGTGTGAATATTTGGATGTGGCAAGCGCCGGAAGTGCAAATAACTGTTGCCAAACATTTTCGACGAAAAATGTGCGCATTGCATACATTTCGGTAGGTAGACACAGGGGCGTTGCGGCGGGGGCAGCTCGGTTAGTTATGGCAGTGACTGAAATGTGGGGGCGAGATGGGGCGGGGGCTCGCTCGATAACTGCCGATGGCGTAGAGCGAGAGAAGGGCTGCAAGGCTGGAAAGGGTGATGGTGGGGGAGTTGCACACGGTCCATCGGCACTCGAGATGCACTGTAGCTGGGGTTCAACATGCCGCTTGTTGCAATGCATGCAAACAAGATTTAACGATAAAATTTTAATTAGTGCATAAATGGGCGCTTGATTGTGTGGGCGTGGCATTGCATAGCACAAGACATGCTACCCAAACACACACACTGGCACACACAGGCAAACACTTATTGCGGCTTTGGCGCATTTTGCTTTTATTTGTTCTTGCTCGCAGCGCACATGCAGCGAGCCATAAGAGTCGAAAGGCAGTGACTGGGATGCAGAGGGGGCATGGCACTGGGCTTCAATAACAGCAATGTGTATGAAATTAAGCAATTTTGTGAGTGTGTGTGCGCGAGAGAAAGAGAAAGACAGAGAAAGAGAGTGAGAGAGTGAGAGACAGGGGCAGATATGCAATATTTGGCACCAAAATCATTTGGATGCGTTGCGTACTTTATAAACGAATAACTAAGAGCAACTGCTAAGAGCGCGAACTTTAATTAAACTTGCCATTAAAACTTATCAATTACCGCACTAATTCACATTTTTCCACACGAAATTCTGTCAATTTTAGTTCCTTAGTGCCAAGCCGTGAAAAGACGTCGAGGAATGTGCCCAGCACAATGTTAGCATATTTGCGTTTATATTATAAATCACACACACAAACACACACATTGTGGACTGCTGCACCTGCACACTTTTTCATGCAAGCTTCTCTGGGTGCTTTGGGTGTGAATCCCGTTGACTGCTTTGCACCGCCGGCTCTAGCAAAATACTCGTAATAGTAAAAATGTGAGTAAAAACTACAAGTAGACGTATGTATCTATATGTATGTGCAACAAGCAGCATACGATGGAACACAACAGCTCGACAGGTACTAACTTTATTCAATATTACTGCACTATTTTTTTTTCCTACCCTGTGAACATAAATTTTCGCAATGGGGTATGTTGAAAGGCAGCAAAGGCTATTACATATGAAACAGAGCATAAATGAATCCTCACTTGGCTTGTATATAATTAAGTCAAAGCTACCATAAATGTATAATATTTATATACACCCTCTACACTGTATAATATTAATTTCATTTATGTTTCATAGTAAATAAATTATTAATGATAAAAAATGATTTATTAATAAAATATTATTAATAATATAATATGATTTATTTTATTCATAGAACTGCCACACATCTTCTCTAGAATAATGGCACATCTGTGCCATTATTTTTTATAGAAATAAAATAAATAAATTTATAAGTATAATGGCTGCAGTTTTGTTCATTTTTTCGCCACTCCATAACAGAAATGGAATCACAAATACTCACGCTTTACAGCATATCTTCTAGTCTATCACTCGCACACATTCTCACAGGTGCCTGAGTTTCTTCGAGCTGTCTGCTTTTATTTATTTTAATTTTTCAGCTCGTCTTCCACGTTGTCTTGTTTTTTTTTTTTTTTACAGCCTCGCCTCGATTGCTGCTCGACATGCACTTTGCATACATTTTGCTTTTACGATCTGATGCTGCGTTTAAATATTTAGTAGATAGTAAACTATGTCTGTCTGTCTAACGGTACGTTCGTGTATACGAATGTTAGTGTCGTGTGTGTGAGTGTGCTTGTGCGTGTGCATGTGTGTATGACTGTTGAAATATTTATTAAAATAACCAAAAGCACACAAGCATGTCAGAAATATCGAACAGTAAATTGTTGTGTGAAGTTCTCAAACGGATTGTAAATAAAATTTATTGTAAATATTATTTTAGAGATAATTATTTTTAAATATGAAATTTTATCATATGCCATGATTATATTTGACATATCTTAAATATATTTCAGGCATTTAAACTGTTGACAATGAAATTTTCAGCATATGTATATATTATAGTCGAAATCTTGTATGAAAATTTGTCTATCTCTGGAGTAATATACCCATCTACGTTTATACCCTTCTTGGATAAAGCTAGGTTATATCACGAATGATTCGAATATAATAACATTACACAGTTCGAACAAATGTCAGCTGTAGATAAAAGTGCCCTCAGTTTTGATTTGGTCATGAAACTCTGGCCCTGGCCCTGGCGCTGGCTTCAACTGCAAAGTTTGTGTTTTAATTAAAATATGTAAATGCGCCAAATCGCACAAAATACACAAATTAGAGGGCAGCCGGCGAAAACCAACCAAAATATTTCACACATTTACCAAAAACATTTTACCAATAATGCAATTGCCCCACAGAGTGTGTGCGTGCATGTGTGTGTGTGTGCGTGTGTGTGTGTGTGTATTTCTGATTGGTAGTCACAGCTGTGTGTATATTTGTTAAACAAATTTGAAAATGGCTCGAATTAGGCGAAAACACCCAAGCCACAAAACAATTTAGTTTATTTGCGCCTAATTGCAAACAGTTGCCAGCTCGAAATTTAGTCCTCTGCACTTGCCCCTGCAGCCCCTCTCATTACATCCACATCCACAGGCCGTAGCCCTAGCGTCTATATGAAGTGTAACTAGTTTGAACAGCATAAGTCTCGAATCATTTGACATTTGAAGACTTCAGCCTTGAACCTGGGACATTGAACCTGGTGTACTGAAACTTGAACCTTTAACCTTTAACCTTGAACTGTATTCGAGGCTTTAGATGCAAGCATTTACAATATAATTTAAAAATTAATGTAGGCTACTTTTATAAGCTATCCAGGAGGTTTTTATCACAGTTGAGGTTTTAGAATTGCTATATTATTTAATAAATAAATATATAAATAATATAATATAGTAAAAAATAAATAAAACAAAAATAAAATTTAAAATATTACAAGTATGTTTCTGCTTAGAATTTATAAAAAATAGGATATTTTTTATAGCAAATAATGCAATTTTATTGGTAAATTGACGCTGTTTTTTTTTTTTATTAAATGTTTAAACAAAAAAAGTATTAAAATATCTTAAACGTAAAACACAAACTTTTAAAACTTACATTTACAAAAATATAAATAAAAATGCTCTTATTTTATATGATATAATAAAAATAATAAAAATTAAAAATAATCCAATAAATATGAATCTATTTAAAATTAAAAAATTGGTCCTTGTTTCTTATAGCTTTAGCTCAGTCGGACTACAAAATAAAAACTTTTGGCTTTTCCTAAAAAACAAAAGAATATTTTTTACAGCAAATAATGCAATTTTTATGGTAACTTGACGCTATTTCATTTTTTTTATTTACTTTTATTTTTTCTGTTTCTTTGTTCTGTTATTATGCATGCTTCAGAGGCATGCGACATTTGAGCTTGAGTTAAGAGCAGGCAGAACAGCAACAACAACAGCAACAATGTGGACAATAAATCGCCAAGATGTCCATTCTTATTTATTTTCGCATTTCGAGTGTTTAGTTTTCGCTTGAGAAAATCGCCATTTTCTTCAACTTTATTTCAGAGAGAAATTCTCTCATGCAGCTGGCGACGCGGGGGCATGGGAGAGCAGGAAAGGCACCAAGTAAAAGGAATGTGCAAAGTGAGAAAGAGCACAAGAGAGAGAGAGAATGAGAGAGAGAGAGATAAGAGAAGACTGCTCAGCTCTGTCATTGCCATTTCAATTTCCGTTTAAATTTTGCACTTCATTTCGCAAGTTCGCAATTTTCATGTGATTTTTTCTTAGCCAAAAATAGGAAAGAAAAACAAGTTTGCCCAACTGCTAGATGAAAACGGGGAAAAAAAGAGGCAATGCAAATACTCAAATATATGTATATAGAAAAACAAAGCAAAGCAAAGCAGAGCAAAACAAAAGAAAACAAAACAGAAATAAAACAAGCGTGAATCAAGCGAAGGCAAAGAAGAGATGACAATAAATTGTCACTTGCTGCTTGCTGGAAGAAAAACCTACCCCTACATCCGGGGCTTTCCTTTCGCATTTTCTTGTATTGTATTGGGGATTCTCCGTATAGGGAAGCTGTTCTAAAAATGTAAACACGAGCGCAATGATAATGATGGAAAATCATGGCCGAGCGAAACAATTGCACGTAGTGTGGCACGTCGCTCTGTCACGCCTTCCGAGTGCGAATCTCTCTGGTTCTCGACCTGCTCGTCCTGCTCGTCCTGCTGCGCCCTCGTCCCCTTGCTGATGTTTATTTGTTTGACAAATAACGAGCGCCATAATGAAGGAGGTGCAAATGATGTTGGCATTGTTTATTCGACTGCGAAATGTAATAGGCGCGCGGTGTCACAGGGCGCCGACTTGCTTTTTATGGCTGATTTGACAGGAAACGGAAACGCGAAATTGCAAAAGCGCAATAAAGTGTAGCATAAACAAAGGCGCGCCCTGAATACACAACCAAACACACACACACACACACATATATATATATCAGCAGGGGCAAAAGGCAGCTCGCTGGGGCAGGCAACTAAAATGATTCAAGTACTCGTTACCGTTGCGCAGCACTTGAAAATAAATTTGTTTCCACAATATCCCGCATTTGTATATCAAACATTGTCGTTCATGTTGTTGTCGTTGTTGCTGCTGCTGCTGTGCATCGTATTATTGTTTTATAGGCAGCAAACAGATTGTTTTCATTTTTATCTTGCTTTTTTTATTTTATATTCTATTCCCGTTGACATGTTGCGGTTGACAGTCAACATGGCTAAATATTTTAGATTAAATGTATTTACAAAAAAAAAAAAAAAAAACCAAAATTGGTAAAATAAAAGTACATTTTTATATCATTGTAAATGGGAATATAGTGCATATAGTTTTTGTTAAAATATTTGAAGCAGGCAGAAAAAAGCTTTTGACGATTCAAAACCCTAATAAACCCCTTGTTTTGTGGATCTGCTTTGCTAGCTTTTATTCAAATTTTAAACTCATAAATCTGAGATTCTCATACTACTTATATGCTGATTTACTACAAATTAAATCTTTCCACTTTATTAAAAAAAAAAACGTTATATCCTGATTTCCCATTTTCAATGGGTACAGCTTATAAAAAAAAAAATAAAAAATAAAAAAATAAAAACATTTGCGCTTTATATAAATTTTTATATTAAGAAAACGTTTTTGATATTTTATCTATATATATTTATATACTTATATATTCTTTAAATTTAAAGTTAAAATCAATTACTTATTTATTTTATTTTTATTATTATTATTTTTTTTTTCTTTTTTATAAGATTTACTGTGTACAATTTTTTTAATTTCGATTTATATTTTAATTTATTATAATATATATATATTTTTTAACACATTTACTGAATATTTTTGGGCCCCATTTCAATATGAATTATTACAATGTATTAAATATAAAAATAAATACACATTAAAGCCATTTTAAACTAAAAAAAAAAAAAAATGACAAATTGATGTTCATAAGAATTTCTGCACCTAATGCGAATTCTTGCGCAGGTTTGCAATAATGCGTAGAGCAGCTGCAGGTGTCTATTATCGGATGTGAAAGACACTTAGCATTCTGCAATGTCAGCAGATAACAGTAAAAAATATTAAAAAAAAAAAAAAAAAAAACAAATACGCAACATGAAGCAAGAAAATCTAAGGGAATGAGAAACATACAACTACTATGCATCTACTATATATAAATATCCTTGAGTGTATGTGTGTGTGTGTGTATTTAAGCATGTGCAACACACCCACACACACACATACGCATTTTCCTTCAGGCTGAGTGCATATTTATGAGTTTGTGCGCCTTATAAATAAAGCAAGTGTGTCAACAATGCACTCCACAGGCATAACTACAGATCTACTCTGGATGGCTGAACTCACCTTAAGTGGAATGCAAGTGAATTCTCGCAATGCTAAATGAAAACATGAGATGGAAATTCCATTTTGCAAGTACCCATATAATTGCATACACTAACAACAAATCAAAGTAGTTTTGATTGATAGAACAGTTGGGATTGTTTAAAGGCAATCCTTGTTAATTTATTGATGTTTATTAACAGAATAGCAAAAGTGAAATGAATCTAATTAATCTTACCTCTGCAACAATTTGTATTAGAAGTAAAACTAACAGAATATTGTTTATTAGACAAATGGCTTTACTGTAGTTAATCATACTAATCAATATATATATATGATAAATAAACATATAAATATAGAAATTTCTATAAAACCAAAATTCATTTTATATTATTAAATACAAAAATAAGTTTAATCCAAGCTAAAAATTTACAACTCTGACATTTTGAAAATATGTAATTAATGTTTGTGGGTTACTTATATTAACATTAAAAGAGGCAGTATCTAGTTTCTTTGCTAGACAAGATTACAATATAATAAGCCAAAAATTTTCTATTTGAGCTGCGCTCAAACAATCCAACAAAGTTAAGGAAAACAGAGCTTTATAGTGTAAACATAACGCATTTGACGCATCAGCAGAAAAATAACGCAGAAACAAGTAAAGCAGAGAGAGAAGGAAAAAAGAACACCAGTAAGATGTGAAAATACGACCAAGAATTGAGAATAGCATTTGCATGTCGTACTGCGGCAAGAACAACAACAGCAGCAACAGTTGGCTGCGGGTGCAGTGAGGCGTGGGAACTGCTTTATCGACGCTATGTTGGTTGCCAAGCAACCATAACCGTAATCGCAACGGTAACCAAGCGCCGCGAGGACAACACAACAGAGAAAACTACAAACTGGGCAGAAGGAAAACGAAAAAAGTCCAACAGAGAGCGGAAAAAATAAAGAAAAGATGGTAAGAAATGCAGCTGAATATAGCAAAAGATACTTGAAATGCTTGGGATACTTTGCGTTGCTTAAGTTCCACACTACGCACACAGATACTTTCACGTGGCAAAACGGATTCAGCCAGCTCACGGCATGCGGCAAGCGGCGGTGGCATGCAACAGCAGCAGCGCAAGGCCCCGGCACCGGCGACACTGGAGGATTTCATCATCAGGCGTGACTATACAGGTGCGCGAGCCTTTTTAGAGGTAAGCCAAACATATTATTTACATGTGAGCTGCTAGTTGAGCCTTTGCCCCGCAGTACGCCAACGACGAGCAGGACGAGGGCGAGGAGACGGCTCAGCAAAGTGAGCAGCAACAGAAGCTGATCGATCAGTGGATTGCCTTCTGCAATTTCCACCTGGGTGACTACCAACAGGCCCTGACACAATATCAGGCCCTAAGGGATCCCCAGCTGGATCTCAACATAGCCGTCTGCATGTTCTACTTGGGCCTGTACGAGGAGGCACAGCAGCTGATGGAGGGCACTGCGGATACGCCGCTGAAGCAGCGCCTCCTCTTTCATCTCGCCCACAAGCTGGGCGATGATCAGCAGTGGGCAGACCTGCTGGACACACTGCTAAGCACGCCCAGCGTCGAGCAGCAGCTGAGCCTCGCCTCGATGCACTACATGCGCGCCCATTACCAGGAGGCCATCGATGTGTATAAGCGCGTGCTGGTCGACAACAAGGATTACTTGGCCATCAATGTGTATCTGGCTCTGTGCTTCTACAAGCTCGACTACTATGACATGTCGCAGGAGGTGCTCGATGTGTACTTGAGCCAGCACGCTGATAGCACCATTGCCATCAATCTGAAAGCGTGCAATCGCTTTCGCCTCTTCAGCGGTCGCGTTGCCGAGCAGGAGATCAAAAATATCGCCGACAATGGCACATTCGGTGCGGACTTAATACGTCACAATTTGGTGGTATTTCGAAATGGTGAGGGCGCTCTCAGAGTTCTGCCGGCACTGCTAAACATAGTGCCCGAGGCCCGACTCAATCTGGCCATCTACTATTTGAAGCAGGGCGATGTGCAGGAGGCGCATGCCCTCATGAAGGAGCTGCAGCCCACTTCGCCGCATGAGTATATACTGAAAGGAGTGGTGCATGCGGCACTGGGACAGCAATTGGGTTCGGTAAGGCTTTGATATCGTTAATTAATATAGTTAGTTACTAAGTACAGAGGTAGGGCTCGGCTTTGTGGAAACTCAATTATTCCCACACACAGCCATTATTGAAGAGTGAGGATAGACTCTAGAGATCTGCCTCAAACGAAGCAGAAACAAATAGTTTATACTGTCTCAATGATGGATGAAAAATGTTTTGAGGTTTGCTTTCTTATAGTTTATCTGACTCAGCTAAAGAAAAAAGTCATTCAGAGCATTAATGCTAACTTCTAACATTTTAATTTTAACATCTTAGCTTTTGATATATCAAGTTTGAATACATACGTATTTAATACTTAAAATAATATAAACATATTCAATACTTCGTCTTACTTATTCCTATATATATATCTCCTATAGCACATCATATTCGGTTTCTTCTTTTCTTCTACGTATATATACCTTTATCTTTTACACCTCAAACTTGAAACAAAACAGTTCTTACTTATCTTTAAAAAAAATCCTTACAGAAGGAGCACATCAAAACGGCTCAGCAAAATCTACATCTTGTGGGCAGCTCAGCCACAGAATGTGATACGATACCGGGACGTCAGAGCATGGCCTCGGCGTTCTTTCTGTACGAACAGTTTGAGGAGGTGCTCGTCTATATGAACTCTATACGCAGCTATTTTGTAAACGATGATGTATTCAACTACAACTTTGCGCAGGCTAAGTGCGCCACGGGCTACTACAAGGAGGCGGAGGAGCTGCTGGTGCAGATCAGCGATATGGACATCAAGAATCAGCATACCTACTGCATGATCCTCTCGAAATGTCATATACACTGCGGCCATCCAGAGCTGGCCTGGAATATATTTATTACCAGAGACACAAATGCAGAGGCATTTGTCTTGCTTCAGCTAATTGCGAATGAGTGCTACAAGTGCGAGGAGTTCTGGGTGGCTGCCAAAGCATTCGATATGCTTGAGAAGTGAGTGTTGATTGGAGTAACTTTCTTTATAAATTAATATAAACATATATGTATATATACTTTCACTCAACAGACTCGATCCCAGTCCGGAGAACTGGGAAGGCAAACGAGGCGCTTGTGCCGGTGTGCTCTATGCGATGGCAACCAAGGCACAGCGTGGCCGACCCTCTGGAGGCATCTCTGAGGTCATTGGGCTACTGCGTGAATCCTCCAACTCACAGGCAGATTCAATGATCAAGACAATTAGAAAACACATAAGTAGTTTCAAGTAATTGTAATACTAACTAACAAATAAATATACATATTATATACATATATTCGTATATAGTACATTTGTTTTCAAACATCAAGAAACGATGAGCAATGCTTCGCTTGGTATTTTAATACAAATTATTCAAGACTCTTTCTACATAACATAATATGTTGCTGTTGCTGTTAAGTAACAGCAATTATATTATTCTCTTCGTCAAGTAAAGTCAACTGTTAATAAGAACATTCTATATATACCAAAGTCTGGTAAACAGCAGAGCTACTTTGCAGCACTGCTCATGATAACATAACAGTGCACCATACTCTTTTACTCCATAACATTCTCAACTAATGTTATTAAGCGCACTTCCTGTGTCTAACATTAAAAGCTGCTTAACAATTTATAATCAACCAATTAAAATGAATTTATTTATTGAGTAAATATTGCTCAATTTCCCTTGCATAAATATTTTCTTAATTTCCCTTGAATATTAATATCGCACTTAATTTCACACAAAGCTCTATCGAGCGCCATGCCCAATATGATTAAGTGCAGCTGTTAATTAATTCAATAGAAATTTGTCAAAAGTTCGTTGAAGATGGCCAAAGTTGGCAGTCACAGCCACAGCCAGACTCACTTAATAAATCTTGCATAATTATTATCAAAAAACTAACTAATTGATAATTAATGAAATAAAATGGCATCTCCTGTTAATATTCGTTATTCCAGCTGCTGTTATATTCAATTCAATTCCCCAGTGAGGCAATTATTCGTAAAGTGTAAGCAGCCTTCAAGTCTATCTCTCTCTTACTCTCTCTCTCTCTCTCTCTCTCTCTTTCTCTATGGAGTGCTCTCTTCCTGTCCTTAGCTTTGCCTGCAGTTTGGCTTTGCTCAATTTGTTGGCCATTTGCCTGCAGCACAAAAGGCCCAGCAGCAACTGAAAGCAGCGCATAATTAATGCGATTAGCAAATGCGAAAGTGTGTCGGTAATAACAACAAGGACAATGCTCGATAGGCGACAACAAAAAGGGACAACTAATGTTGACACAACGCCTCTTAAATACACTCTCCTTCACAGACGATGAAGCTATGCTATTGAAAGGGAAAAAGAAAAGAAAAACTAATTTGAGATATTGCGAAAATTACATTACATGATTACATTAAATGATATATGAAAAATATAATAAATTTAAAAATTAAAAACTATTTACTAATAATAAAGACTAATACTAAAATCTCTTAGCCCATTTGGGATGTTTGTCATGAATTTTGAAGAATTTGATGTTAGCCAGAATCAAGCAGAAATATTCATAAGCAAATAATAATTAATATTCCAGGATTTAATAAGAAACTGTGAAGTCTTCAGGCTATATTTACGAAAGAATGATTCAGAGCGATAAATAGGAGCATGAAATAATTAACTAAAATAATATCAATATAATATAATTTTAGCTATTATTGTTATTCCGAAACAAAGCAGAGTTACTAAGGACCTACATACACTATAGCTTAAAGAGTATCGCCTATGATTCCTACTGCGTTACGACCTTTGCAACATTGTTATAGTGCGCCCTACAAGGAGGCACTTAAGGCAAACGCATGAGGCGGACCAACCAGCGGAAATGTGTCGCAGCCATTTTGTCTAATTGGCTTTGCTACAAAGTAGAGATAAACCGGAAATGGCGCAGCATTTTTTTTTGGGTATTGCTGTACTTTATTTTTGCTATCCTGTTTTTTTTTTTTTTGGCAACACTTTTGCTAATTAGTCGAACAAATATTTAAAGAGCAGTTGCATTAAACTTAAAGACAGATGCGACTGGCACTTTTTCATCGCCTCATTTCCTTAAAGTTTTCTTCTTTTTTTTTTTTTTTTGTAATCTTTGCTTAAAAACTTTGGCCTGGCCATAAATCAAACAGCCCCTCTGGCCCTTAACAATTCCATTACAGAATTAAAAGCAAAGAGAACTTTCAAGACAAAAAGGAAAATAGTTATTAAATATTTCTTTGGCTCGATGGCTGAGAAAACTCTTTTGAGCCGCACCTACAAAACCGAATGCCAACACAGACACAAAGTTTTCCCAATGCTTTTCACTGTTTTGCTTAATTTTTCTTCGCTCCTCCCCAGTTTGTGTGCAAAAGTTTTTCCTATTTTTCTTTTGTATACTTTTCTGTGCGATGCGTGTGGAAAAGTCAAATGGTGCCTTCTTTTTATTTCAAGTCCTTGTGAAACTATTAATTTGCATGATTATCGTTTAAGCATAAATTCATTTAAACGACATTGTCGTTAGCAGACACAAATATATATATACACATACACACACACAGACACACACACATATATATATACGTATACATGGCAAAATGGCAGCAGTCACCTTGGCTTTCCACTGGCTGCAAGTAAACAAACTTTTAAATTCCATTAAGTGCAATAAATTTTGCAACTGATACAAGGCAAAAGGTAACGGTAAAGACGGCATCGTTGGCAGCACTGTCGTAAGGCTGTTGGCAGCGCCCTCTGTCGGGCATTATCGGCAACGTTTTTGCTGCACGTCTACGTCTTGGAGCACCTTTAAACATTGTGTGCACAAAGTTTAATTAGGCGCAGCATCTCATTAAGTTTCGTCTAAACGCGCATTTTACAACACTGCCAAGCGCATATCTTCAAGGGAATCAGCTAGGAGAGCTCTGTGGAGTATATACATACATACATATTTGAATTTTGCGTAGAAAAAAGGGCTCCTTAAGACTAAAGACTATATATAGATCGAAAAATATATATAAATACATTTAGAAACATATAGATAAAAATAATTATATGCAAAGTGAAAGAAACTAATCGAGTTAGCCTTCTATTAAATATCACAATAAGAAATTCTGGTTATTTTTCGTAACTTTTAGCTTGAACACTTTCTAAAACTGATTCAGATCGTATCTACTTAAAGGAAATAAAATTTACAGTTATTCAAAAAAAATTCTATTTTAAATGAAATGGAAGATAACTCATATTCGGGTCTCATTGCGGAAAGTCTCCGATTACATGTTGGCCGGAACGAAAAGCTGCATAAAATGCGTAGCGGATTACATGTTGAGGCGATGAAGATGATCCAAGAGTTGACTATGCTCGAGAAGCAGGAGCCTTCATGTGGCAAAACGAATTTGGAGCAGCGTGGCATGCTGCAGCTGCTCAATTATTTGATTGTCGACTATTTTAATTGGCATGGCTTTACGAACACAATGAAAACCTTTGCTCTAGAGACGGGCGAAAAATCGCGGCCGAAACCGCGTGATAAACTGCAACAGGAGCTGAAGGGGCAATTCAGACACTCCCATCTGCCCATCCTGTTGCAAATGGTATTGAAGGAATCTAATAAAGCTGACGACGCGTTGCTAGAGAAGAGTAAGTGGGAGCATATTCCAATCAGGGGAGACCAAATCCCAAAGAAGTTAAAAAAATTACAAGGACGTTTTCGTACGATAAAAGATATTTCATCGAAGGAAAAGCCTGACAAGAAGGTGAAAAAAGATGCTCAGGCCGGCGTGGGGGTTACAGATATGCCAGGTGAGGGCAAATCAGCCAGTCCTAAGGAGAAGAAATTGAAGAAAAACAATACTATAGCCAAAGAAAATCGAAACGAAGCCAATAATGAGCCCACAGCGGTCAAAGAAGATCAGTCTAAGAAATTGTCAAACAGTGCGAAAAACCTACGAAAATATAGTAAGGACCTCAAAAGTTTTCCCAAGCTCAGAAGTCTTAACCAGTTGAGGAGCATGGATGAGAGCAGGATAAGAGTAACATCAGCTCACGATACCATAAAAAAGGTGGATAGCTCGAATGGGCCGAAACCTAGTCCCAGAAAGGAGGCACTACAGAAAGTGGACAGCCTAAACGAATCTAGTCCTGGCAGTACACAAACCAATTCCCAGGTACTGCCAACGAGAATGGACCTATGGATGAGAGATAGCTTAAGTAAGGAGGGCCAGAGCAGATGGGAAAACTTACAAAAGTCATATCGGGCCATGCAAGACTACCCGGCCAAGGGGCTGCCCAAGACCCCGCTCACCTTGCATGAAACTTGCGCAATTGTTGACACTACTAGGACCCCCCTTAGCAAAGTAAATATACGGCAAAGAATGGTCGAGTCCAATAAACAGCGATCCAGAGCCCATTAGAACGTGACCAGGTTATATATAAATATTTGTTATTTTTTTCGGCTTAAACCCATTCCTGGAGCATCGTTTGCCACGAACTGACGCCGCATCTTGTGACTGTTTCCCAGACCGAAGCACAAGCACTTCACTACCTAGTGAATGTTATGATGATAACTATTCGAAACAATCAATTTGGCAAATTTGAAATGCTCGCTTTATATGGTACAAGAAAACAAATTAATTGACTTGATTTTATGAAATTTAAAAAAAGACAAATTTCGAAATAAATTGAAAATTACCTGCTTGAATCAAAAGCCATTGTGTTTTTATTAAATGCAAAATTTAGATTATATATAATTTCGGTTTAAAGCCCTCTTATATGCATTTGTCTGAGCAGCTGCGGCTCAGCAGTCGTCGAGGTCACCGAAGCACTTCAAGACGTCGTTCACTGCACTCTGACTTCAGCTCTTGAGACAGATCCAAAAACTTGGCAACGTCGTAGAAAAGTTCACCTAATGGCTAATGTATGCAGCCTCCACCTCAAGGTTATCTGCATGATTAACGAGCTGATGCCGTTAGCCCTGGGCTTGACAAAAAAAAAAAAAACTTTTTAGACAAAAAAAAAAAAATAGTAAATAAAAAAGAGTAAAAGCTGAAGAACGAAGTAAGCACTCTATCAAATTTCATCACATTTCATCAGACAGACTTCGACAGGCTTTAAAATCACATTCGATTACCGATTCGACTTGAAACAGTTCGTAAAATAGAAATAAATTTAATTCGTTATCGATATATAAATTTCCATTGAAGTGTTGTTGTAATTTGTAATTTGGAAGTTCGTTATGGAAAATAGCTCGTACTCGAAGCTAATTG